GACCTGCCCCCTCCGACACCCTGGCTGGAGCCGTCCCTGGACACGGGGAGACGGGCAGGATGTCTCCCTGCCGCAGGGACGGTCGTGAGTTCCTGAAGCCGCTGCACACGGAGACCAAGCGGATGGAAGGCTGGTGCAAGGAGATGGAGCGGGAGGGCAGGGAAACGACCTCCTCCGGAGAAAGTAAGAGCCCAGACCTCCTTCCCGGGGCCCTTTGCACCCTGGCGGTTTTTCAGTAAAGCAAAATGGCAATGCTAATGGGGGAATTCCTTTGGCATTTGAGCGAATGAAGTAGTGTGCTTTCTACTGTATCCAATCAGTTATAAGAGAAGATATAAATGCCTGAAAAGAAAAGCGTTCTGAAGTGTCGAAGGGGTTCTTCTGTGTTTTGTTTTGTTAGAGAGGGGACAACGAGGTCGACTGTGATTAACGGCTTTCTTGGAAGTGTAATTCATCTCACATTCCACCTGCCGGTTCTCTTGAATTCCGGCAGTGACTCCATTTGGAAGCAATCCGATTCTTTTCTAGAGTTGTCACTGTCCCCTGTTTTAGGAAAATGCCATGGCATTCTGCCACAGGAAGGCTGGAGCTAAGTAGCAGATTCAGCGGGATAGCTGCGTGGGTGGGTGAAGCCACGCTTCCTCCAGGTCGAGGGTGACTTCCCTGCCAGCTGCGCCTGCAGGTCTCTGCCTCTCCCAGGAACAGGGACAGCACCCACTGTCCACGCCCCGCCCCCGTCACCTGCAGAAACCCACCCACACTGTTCAGAAGCCCCTTTACTAGTGGCTGTGCAGATGCCGACTGTCTCTGTTTTATAGGCCAAGAACACCAGAATGCAATTGCAGAATGCTTAGAACTAACTCCGCTTCTAACAAGATACAATTTCACAGAGGTATTTACTCCATGTCTTGATGACAAATCATGCTCTTTTTAAAGTATTTTCTTTTCCACAAGTCCCCTTGTACCCTTGGAGATCGTATACATTCTGAATTTCACAAGGAAAGCTGACAACCCTTCGGGAATTTTGCTGCAACATCCCAATTTCTATAGCAAACGACTACCTGGGAATGGAGTACACGATGACCCCAGGAGTGGAAG